GAAGAAACAAAAAATAACTGTCAATCTCCCTCGGCCTGGGGCTCCATGCAAGATCTCACCTCGTGGAGTTGCAATGATCATGAGAACGGTGAGGAATCAGCCCAGAACTACATGGGAGGATCTTGTCAATGATCTCAAAGCAGCTGGGACCATAGTCACCAAGAAAACAATTGGTAATACACCACGCCGTGAAGGACTGAAATCCTGCAGCGCCCGCAAGGTGCCCCTGCTCAAGAAAGCACATATACAGGCCCGTCTAAAGTTTGCCAATGAACATCTGAATGATTCAGAGGAGAACTGGGTGAAAGTGTTGTGGTCAGATGAGACCAAAATTGAGCTCTTTGGGATCAACTCAACTCGCCATGTTTGGAGGAGGAGGAATGCTGCCTATGACCCCAAGAACACCATCCCCACCGTCAAACATGGAGGTGGAAACATTATGCTTTGGGGGTGTTTTTCTGCTAAGGGGACAGGACAACTTCACCGCATCAAAGGGACGATGGACGGGGCCATGTACCGTCAAATCTTGGGTGAGAACCCCCTTCCCTCAGCCAGGGCATTGAAAATGGGTCGTGGATGGGTATTCCAGCATGACAATGACCCAAAACACACGGCCAAGGCAACAAAGGAGGGGCACAAGAAGAAGCACATTAAGATCCTGGAGTGGCCTAGCCAGTCTCCAGACCTTAATCCCATAGAAAATCTGTGGAGGGAGCTGAAGGTTTGAGTTGCCAAACGTCAGCCTCGAAACCTTAATGACTTGGAGAAGATCTGCAAAGAGGAGTGGGACAAAATCCCTCCTGAGATGTGTGCAAACCTGGTGGCCAACTACAAGAAACGTCTGACCTCTGTGATTGCCAACAAGGGTTTTGCCACCAAGTACTAAGTCATGTTTTGCAGAGGGGTCAAATACTTATTTCCCTCATTAAAATGCAAATCAATTTATAACATTTTTGACATGGGTTTTTCTGGATTTTGTTGTTGTTATTCTGTCTCTCACTGTTCAAATAAACCTACCATTAAAATTATAGACTGATCATGTCTTTGTCAGTGGGCAAACGTACAAAATCAGCAGGGGATCAAATACTTTTTCCCCTCACTGTAGGCAAGCCAAGAAAAATCTACTCTTCTAATTACTTGGACCGTTCAAAGGCAGGCAAAGACTGGAAGTAGTTACTCGACATATCTATGACTAGCGAATTACATCGAGATTAACTTCTCTCACTAGCCAGCCAGATAACATAAGCTAACCGGCAAAAAAGCTAGCGGTAAACAAACAGTGACGTAAGTATAATGCGACAGCTTTACTGTCAGTGTTAGCAGGTCGGGTAACAAATTAGAGTGTCAGAATAAGTATCATACAAATCATTTGTTGTTGTGACAGCCAAGCATGTTAATAAAGACACGTGAGGCTGCTGAAAACGTTTGAAACAACAAAAAAGTGTCAGTAGTTTGCTGAAGATGCCACCAAAATGTGGCTAATTACATGGGAGTAATGAGAGTACCCTACTGCTGTACCCTACTCGGTGGTGTGGTCACGTTAAGCCACACCTTGCCGTGTGTATCTATGAGCCTCAGCCCAAAATGTAATGGAAGATGTAGGTAGCAAACAGGGATTGTGCGATTATATTTTCATAAATGGCTGTATAGTATACAAAATAAATTGTGTGTGGCATTGTCAGTGTGCCTCCATGCTTTGCACAAGTCCTCATATTCTAAAATCAAATGATTTCTATCTAACAGGTTGGGACTAACATAGTTGAGTACCTGCGCCAGGCGGAGGTGACCAGACCCTACCCATTTGTGTTGGCTCTTGGGGACTGCTCACAGGTGTTTACAGTCATTGTGTGTGCTGACGTGTCCGTGAATATCTATTGATCTGTCTTAATACCACTTAAGACAGTGTCACGTACTCATGCTTTGTTTTTCTCATATTGCAATCTGAGTGTGCACATCACATTCATCTCAGGCTTTAGTGTAATGTTTGGACTGTTTGGTTCATGAAATCATATTTTAAAAAATTTATAATCAAGCCTATTTTATGAAAAAACATAAACTTACACAATAGGGCTTTGTTTCAATGTGCTATTACATTTTTATATATATTTTTGTACATTGTGGACAATTCTCTGACCTGCTGTGATATACCTTATTTACATACACTACCGGTCAAAAGTTTTAGAACACCTACTCATTCAAGGGTTTTTCTTTATTTTTACTATTTTCTACATTGTAGAATAATAGTGAAGACATCAAAACTATGAAATAACACATATGGAATCATGTAGTAACCAAAAAAGTGTTAAACAAATCAAAATATATTTTATACTTGAGATTCTTCAAATAGCCACCCTTTGCCTTGATGACAGCTTTGCACACTCTTGGCATTTCTGATTGTTTCAGTGCATGCATTCAACAAGCTTTGGACGAAGGACTACCACAGGGCCGCCATCTCCAAAGTTTACTCAAAAAGCCAATAGTTCTGAACTGGGTTTGATTTAGTTTTTGTTTCAATTATTTAAATTAGGTTAATTCTTTAAACTTCCGTTGGTTGAAATCTATTGCTCAGTTTATGACTTGGCTCATGTAAATAATTCTGTAGTTGCCACTTTAAACATCATAAGTCAACATCCCCATAGTGTTCACATTTCTCTCATAAATGTTGTAGCTATATAATAATTTGAAATCAACAATTTATTTAGGAAATATCCAGTCTTTGCTATTTTCTTCATTACCATGCTGATGATTTAAAGTTATATTGGATTTATTTTTATCTGTTAAGAAATTGAATACAAGTTGTTTGGTATATTTACTACATTTAGTAAGTTTCGTTTTTTTTCCTCTGAGAACTAAGTTAATTTAAAGTTATGTGATTAGGTGTATGTAGATACATTTCTATGTTAACAAACAGTAACCAAAAACCTGATCTCATTTAAATATTCAGACTGAGGTTGCAGCAAACAGTAGAATGTTTACCACATGTTTTTCAGACTTGTTTGCCAGAAGTTCACAAGTTGCTGCAAATTTACCACAACAGTTTGCCAAAACACTAATTTGCATGTGAAAATATGAGCTTGCCGCAAATTTGCGACAAATTGCCCAAAGGTTTGCCACAACTGTTTGCCAGAAGCCTGTTTTTTTCGGTAAGGGTTTAATTTAACATCTTTATTTTAGTATTTATTCAATCATTTCACAGACACAAACAGACATTATGTAGTAGTAGAGTGCATGTTGTATGATTATTTAGTGTACATAAAATACATAAAAAGGTTATCTTTATAAAAGAGTACAGAGTTCATTTGGCTTCTTATTTACTGGTCTTAAGTTGGGGTTTGATTAATCCTCTTCCCACAGTGTATCCTAGATACTCTGTGTCCTCTAACCCCACGTAACACTTGGCAGGGTTTGCCGTGAGCCCTGCCTTCCTAAGGGCGTCTAGCACTGCCTGTACCCGGGGCAAGTGGGATTCCCAATCTGGGCTGTAGATCCCCACGTCATCTAAATAGGCTGCGGCGTAAGCTCTGTGCGATTTTAGGACCTGGTCTATTAGCTGTTGTAAGGTGGCTGGGGCCCCGTGTAAGCCAAATGGCATGACGGTGTATTGAAACAACCCATCAGGGGTTGCAAAGGCTGTCTTTTCTTTGGCTCTGGGGGTCAGGGGGATTTGCCAGTAACCTTTGGTTAGGTCCAGGGTCGTAATGTACAGAGCGTTACCAATTTTCTCTAATAGTTCATCCACTCATGGGGATGGGGTAGGCATCAAACTTGGAGATTTCATTTACTTTCCGAAAATCATTACAAAACCACCAGGACCCATCGGGCTTGGAGACCATCACAATTGGGCTAGACCACTCACTATGTGACCCTTCGATCATTCCAGCTGCCAACATTTTCTCCACCTCTGCTCTTATCGCGGCTCGGCGATTCTCAGGTACCCTATATGGCCTCATGCTCACTTTTCTCCCTGGTAGGGAACAATATCATGAGCCTTAACCTCAGTTCGTATTGGTATCCCTGAAAATACATCTGTTTTTCTGGATAAGGGTCTTTACTTCCTGTACATGTGCTAGGGACAGAGTAGGTGAAACATGCACTTCGGCTGCCTCCTGAGTGGGCGTGTGTTAAGTGACAATTAGTGTTTCTCTCTCTTTCTCCATGCTTTTAACAGGTTTATGTGATAGATCTGTTCCGGGGGCCGACGACCTGGCTGTCGGATCCGATAATTAACTTCTCCTATTTTCTCCACCACATGTGACAATCCTCTTCAAGGTTAGGAGAGTTTGTACACCAAAATCACCCCAGAGAGAGTTATTTCGAACAGGACAGTACCTGTATGTTTGTTTCTCCGTTCTGTTCTGCCCAGGCCGCAGGTATGGTCGAGGTTATCAGGGTTCGGTACACAAATTGGGTTCTCGGTAGGTCCAGGTCCAACAGCCAACAGGTAAGTCCAAACAGTCCAGGTCATACACGGTAAATCCAGCCGATATATATTGTCACTTTTCTCTTTCTCCGTGGTTCACAGATCCACAGCCCCTTGCTCTCTCTCCTCCTTCCTGGTGTGGCTATTTTGTGATCTTTAGTTCTTGTCGGGGTGGCCATTTTACTGAGAGGGCAGAGCCCGTTTATTAGTTCTGCTCTCACATATCTGCCATTTATCACTCGGCCCCCTTCTTTGCCACAATATGATTATTGATAGTGACATGGTTGAGAAGGCAGTATGCCATTAAAAAGTGCTTATGTCACTGTGACGTGTTCCCAATATAAATACAGTGACATTGATTGAACTGTTCATAACGATGCTAGAGTAGGATGTTGTTTAGCCTAGAGGTAAAACCAGTTTGAGTTGTTACTTGGAACTAAAGCTTAGTGAAACTAGCCTGCATAAACATTGCAGTCTTTTTCAGAATATAACTTGTTTTAGTACATTTTGTGTATTTAAGAACTATAACAACACATGGAAACCTATGGAGGAGGTGTCCTTATTGTGAATGGTTTGTCTAGGCGAAGGTGCTCCAGATGGCCACCAGGGCTGTGAGAGGTAGTTGGACGGAGCCAGCACCGTTGCACAGGTTGGTGCTACAGCAGGTCTGTGAGATGGTGTAGCCGGCTCCCAGGATGCCAGAAGTGGATGTGGTGTAGACATTTGTGGGCAGGCAGCCCTTGCGCTTGATGCTACTGATGTTGAACACTGGAAGAAGGAATAGAGGAGGAGCAATTGTAAATACAGTGGTTTTGTTTGAGTAGACAGCACTTTATTTTACCGCTACAGAAATTACTAGGTATTAGCAGAGAAATTATTTGGTGCAACGGTAATTACACAGTAAAAACCTAGGAATTACCTATTTTTATTGTAGATTTCTACTTGGATGAAACCACAGGGTCAGTACCTGCTTGTCCGCTGTAGCAGTTGTGCTCAGAGGTGCTACATGTTGTAGTTGAACCAATCAGACAAACACTGGTGATCCCCACAGAACATGTGTTGCAATTCAGGGACTCTGCTGTGAGATGGAATGAGATAAATATTGAGAGACAGAGCAAAATGTAGAGGAAAGAGAAGGGAAATAAGTAAGATTGCTGTCATCATGACACTATACAGTATGTACAAAAACCGGTCGAATCAATGTTTTCACGCCATTTCAACAAAATAATTAGGTGATGACGTTGAATCAATGTGGGAAACTGATTAGATATCTTTTTTTACCCTAAATCCAATGATATAAAATGTTTGATGAATTTCATGTTGAAATGGAGGTCAAAAAGAGCTTTACCTATTATTATCCCAGAATACATCAATTACTTCACTCTGTTCTATTCTGTTACTGTAGATTGAATGAATTCTATGTCAACACCAAAGCAATAACCATCAACAAAACATGCTGTGGTTGAACTGAAGGCCACACTCAGTTTTGATGTGTGGTCATAGACATCTGAGCACTTCGGACCACACCCTTGTTTGGGGTGCTATACACCACCACAGCAGTAACCACACACAGCAGTACGCGGCTTTATCATACATTTAAAAAAATCTGATTTACTGAAATGGCATGCCATTACATCATAGATATGACATTAATCATACAAAATTGTAATTCACTGTTATCAAGAGTACATCATTCTCTATTGGATTATGAATGAAGACTCCACCCTGACCAAATGTTATATCCTACAGAGTACAGTCTCTACATGTTTTCTGTATTAATCTCTCTGACCAATTAGTCAATCAACAATTCAAAAGCATTTCTACTGTCACGTTCGTTGAGTACAGGATTGGACCAAGGTGCAGCGTGGAATGCATACATGTTTATTCACGAAGTTAACACACGACAAAACAACAACGTAACGTGAAGCTCACAATGGCTACACACAAACAAGCCGAACAAGAGTCAAGATCCCACAACAATAGGTAGGCAAAATGGCTACCTAAGTATGATGCCCAATCAGAGACAACGGTTGACAGCTGCCTCTGATTAGGAACCACACCCGGCCAACATAGAAATACCAAACATAGAATTTCCACATAGAAATACACATACATAGATATTCACACCCTGACCAAACCAACTAGCAAACTCCATATCAGGGCGTGACAGTACCCCCCCCCCCCCCCCCCCCCCAAAGGTGCAGACTCCGGCCGCAACACCTAACTTAACAGGGGAGGGTCCGGGTGGGCATCTAGCCTCGGTGGCGGCTCCGGCTCCGTGCGTGACGTCCTCTCCCTTACTGCCTCCCAGTTGCACCCCTGGTCCGGTCTGGACCTCGGCGCGATGCTTCCCCTCTCAGTCCTCCCACGATGCACCAAGCCCTGTCTGGACCCTGGTGTGGGAGGCCCCGACCCTGGAGAGGGGCTGACGTCTGGGCCTGGACCGGCAATCCCCCCGCGATGCACCAAGCCCTGTCTGGACCCTGGTGTGGGAGGCCCCGACCCTGGAGAGGGATTGACGTCTGGTTCTGGAGTGGAGCCGCTGACCGGAACTGAACCCCGGTGGAGCGGACTGCTCTGGCACTGGAGTGGAGCAGCTGACCGGAGCTAGACCAGGCACCGGTGGAGCGGACTGCTCTGGCACCAGCCGTACCGGGCTGAGGACACGCACCACTGGTTTGGTGCGGGGAGCAGGTACGGGGCGTACCGAGCTGGAGAGGCGCACTGGTGACACAGTACGTAGAACCGGAGCAGGATATACTGGACCGTGGAGGCGTACTGGATGTCTGGAGTGTAAAGCTGGCACAACCCGTCCTGGCTGGATGCCCACTTTCTGGCACAGGACGCACTGGGCTGTGAAGGCACACTGGCGACACAGTGCGTATCTCCGCATAACTTGGTTCCTCAATGACCACACGATCCTTCTGTTGCCTGGCCAGCTCCTCTCTCCGTGCATCCACTAATTCCTTCTCCCTACGGGCCTCCTGCAGCGCCTCCTTTTGAAGGGAGCTCTCCTGCTCTATCCTCGCTATCAGCCCCCGTAATGTGGTGGCCTCCTCTCTCAAACGGCTGATCCACAGTTCTTGGAGGACCTCTAAAATAGCGGCCTCCTCCTCCACAGTCAGCCCTTTCACGGCCTCCTGCTGCTTCATCGATCACCCCGTGTGCCCCCCAAAACATTTTCTTAGGGTTGCCTCTCGAGTCTCCTTCGTCGTTTCGCATCTTGGAGTCGCCGTCTTTTCTCCCTCGCTGCCTCTGTTTGCTCCCAAGGAAGGTGATCCATACCATCCTGGATCTCTTCCCATGTCTATGATCCTTTTCCTTCCAGTATCTCCTCCCATGTCCAGGTTTCTTGCTTTTCCTGGCCACGCTGCTTGGTCCGTTGGTGGTGGGATCTTCTGTCTCGTTCGTTGAGTACAGGATTGGACCAAGGTGCAGCGTGGAATGCATACATGTTTATTCACGAAGTTAACACACAACAAAAGCAACGTAACGTGAAGCTCACAATGGCTACACACAAACAAGAGTCAAGATCCCACAACAATAGGTAGGCAAAATGGCTACCTAAGTATGATCCCCAATCAGAGACAACGATCGACAGCTGCATCTGATTGGGAACCACACACGGCCAACATAGAAATACCAAACATAGAATGTCCACATAGAAATACACATACATAGATATTCACACCCTGACCAAACCAACTAGCGAACTCTATGTCAGGGCGTGACATCTACATTCCACACCAACTCCCCTTATTTCTCCATGATTTCACCGCTAGCTGATGCTTAGTTTCTACTTGCATCGCTACATGCTTTTTAAAAAAACACTAGCCAGGAGATGCTGGACATTACTACATAACCAGCCAACAAACTCAATAAAAACTTTACAGATGAAAAGATAAGCCTGGATAAGTTGAAAATAAAGGTAGGAGGGGGTGTCGTGTATTGGGATTATGCCTTTGTTAAATGTTTTTCTTGAAGAAATGGAATGTTGTTTATGTTAGGTCAAATGTAGCCGTTTGGAGGGTGACGCCCCAGGGGAGACTGGTGATTGGCCAGAAGAGGGAGCCACCCATCTTTTTGCATTGTTTATAAGTAGGGGCTAGACAAAGAAAGGGCAGAACGGCCATTGCAATCTGGGACGCCGTTCTCCGGATGTCATGACATCTGTCACTTATGCTGAAGCTTGTGATATGAATAAACCTTATGATCCAAGTTCAGTATGAGCGGACTCCTTTGTTTATCAGCAATGATTGCCAGCACTTACGCGATACGACAAATGGCGCCCAACGTGGGGCTGGTCTGCATTTCTCCTTTGCTCATTCGTAGCCGCCAAGCTAACTTCGGTCTGAAGTCATGACCAGACAAGGGTGAGCGTTCCTCACAGCTAAGTTGTTAGTTTTGATACTGCTTGTGTACACTGGAGAAATGTACCATACGACCGTGCCTCGTGTGGCGTTATTGCTGATAACTGGGGGTCTGGCTAATCATTATCAATTGTTGCACTGGTAGACAGGGCAAAAGGGGGGAGAGTAGGCTTGGAATTTTAGAGCAATCGATGGTAGAGATTAAGGCAGATATTGGCAGAATAAAGTCAGGAATACGTATGCAATTATGGCATTGTGAATCTGTTAAAGACCTCGAAACGAGGCGACTCCTTAGGAGTGGGCCATAAATCCAGGCAACGCGCTAGGTGTGGTCAGGTTGGTTCTAGGAACCATGAGGTGGACGGTTATATTGTATGTTATGCTCATCTTATAGTCGACGGAGTATTTGCATGGGGTAACCGCTCATATGATTATCCAGAACTTACGGCAGCATAAAGTTAGCAGGGGATAAATGGACAATGATTTAGGCACAATGCAGGTTACTTAGGGCGTGGTAGGCCACAGTTAGCTAAAGGCTAAGGCTAATGTTAATGCTAAATGGGAGTGTGGTTCATGCTACATGGTACATAGCGGTTAATGCTAATTGTGTTGCGTGCTACATGCTAACGTGTCCTTAGAGGTCCTATTGCGATAGGATAAGCCTCTTAAAATATGTCTGTGTGTGTGGAATTCAAAGTTCTACGCAAATGTGAGCTCTGTTATGTGTAATTGTGTGAGTATAGGGTATAAAATAGTGAAGCTGTAGCGTAATGCTATCGTTCTATTGTCTGGGAATCGTATCATTGGATGCATTTGCGCATGCGTTTAATTTTATGACACTACACTACAAAACGTGGGAGTTGTAGTTTATGGCACGAGATTATGAGACGTTGGGTTCCGGTACTAAAACTACAAAACTTTGTTTACTAAAACTACAACACGGGATTGTGGGTAACGTGTCATATTTCTGTGGGGCTGCGTGTCGCAGGGGGAGACAGAGAAACACAGACGAGAGAACAAAGAGGAAAGATTTGAAAATGAATTAAATCTTCTAGGTGTTACATCGGCTGTTGGTTAAAGATGAAACTTGTTTTGTGACCTATTGAATTTATAAATTAGATATATGAGGACGAATTATAATAAATTAAATTAAATGACGATTAAAATAAATAAAAATTAAATAAAAATGTTATTGATTTTTATTTTCACGTGACTTCCGTCTCGCTTCCGCATTGTCTCCGTGCTGCTCTGCTGTTTGTTGCTACTTGGCTACCTGCCAAACTATTCACGTTTTACTTTTAATAAACGTTTAATCAATCTCTGTGTTCAACAAATTTACCAACTTTTTAGTTTTGTCCTCACTCATCTTTTTTCGTTAAACTTTTTCACCCCGGACGTTTATCCCGAGACAGAAGAGTCATTTTCCTGTGCGTTTTAGCTGCCAACTTTACGTTATTTTCCTTTTTTCCATCGCAACTTTTTTCCCTTATTCAACTTTTTCACTCCGGACGCTTTATCTGGACATGGTTCATCAACATCTTCAACAGCCGAAGCTAAGTAGTAACATTAACATGATGTCTTCTAATTGCAGTCGCTGTACTCATAATATACAGGAGAATTCTCGCCTTACGGCGAGAATAGCTGTGCTACAAGCCCAGCTTCAGACGCAATCGTTAGGCAAGGGTAATATCAGTGTAGGAAAGGAA